AAAAATTCAAATTGAAATTTAAATATGAATATGAAGTACTATTTAATTATTTATTTTCTATCCGCATCTGAAAGCGGTACCGGTTGTTGTTTTTGCTTTAATTGTGGATATATTTGATATACACGTTTTTTTTATTATTTTTGTTTATAATGGGTTATGGTGAGATTTTGAATTTTGTTAAATTAACATTTTGTCATCTGTAAGTTTTGTTTGGCTTTTAATTTACACATACAAACATGGTAAAAAAGTTATATTTTTTTTTTTCTAAGCCGTTTTATGGTACTTGAGGTTACACATGTTTTTTCCAGATTTTGGGTGTGCAATAGACTCTCTAATGTTGAACAGTGGGATAGAAGAGGAAAAAGTTGGTTAAGTTAAACTTTCTTTGGTATGCAGATTTTCTTAAAGTATATACAATGAGAAATTTTAAATAATGTATTCCAATATTATAGCCTCGTTTTGCTATGCAAAATATCTCTCCCACTTTCGCCTTTCCACACCCACTGTTCCCCAACGGATACAACTATGAGAAAACAAGTGCGTGAAACTATTAATTTTGCATATAAATGATCATGTATGAATGAAGATACAAATTCATACAAAACAAAAAAAAAAAAGATATTAATGTTTATGGAGACAAAACAGCCAGTAAGGCAGCCACTACAACAACAACACAAACAAGCAATAAATGATGTTTTGTTTTTGGCCGATAAGAGTTATTGGTTAGATGTATGGTTGGCATATTGGTTACACCTTAATTGTCCAAAGCTTGTTTAATTCCATACACCATTGAATAGAAATATCAGTTAAGAAAACTAAAATTAAAAACAAGAAAAAATAGCTTAGAGTTTGGTCAATAATTTATTAACTCAAAGAAATCAATGGGTGTTTATTTTACGCATAAACCACATTTGTAGTGGATTGAAAGTGAAGCGGATTTTAAGAAAGTTAATTGAACGAAAGTAATATTTTTATTAAACATGAGAGACAATCAACATTTGAAGTTAGTTTTAGGCTGACGATAAAATTTTAATTACAAATATGTTATAGATCCGCAATTAGTGCTTGTTGCAAAAGTTATCTAATTTGTAATAAAATTTTGCCATTTGCAAGAGTTTTACAAGTTGGGATTGATGTGTTTTAATGGTCTGGGAAAAAGTTTTTACTATTTTAGATTAGGTAATATTTAGATTGGAGTCGTAAATTACATTAAGAGGAGTTAATTTCCTTTTAAAACAGTTGCAAAGAAAAAAATTACACTTTTCATTCCCAAAATGTTTCTTTTTATCTTTGACGACTTACATTCCAAAGCTTTCCAGTCAGAATAGACCAAAATATAGAAGAGATAATAGACTAGACTATCGACTAGACTAGACTATAGACTAGATTATATACTAGACTATAGACTGGATTATAGACTAAGACTAGACTATAGATTAGACTAGTCTATAGACTAGACTATAGACTAGACTATAGACTAGAATATAGACTAGACTATAGACTAGACTATAGACTAGACTATAGACTAGACTATAGACTAGACTATAGACTAGACTATAGACTAGACTATAGACTAGACTATAGACTAGACTATGGACTAGACTATAGACTAGACTATAGACTAGACTATAGACTAGACTATGGACTAGACTATAGACTAGACTATAGACTAGACTATGGACTAGACTATAGACTAGACTATAGACTAGACTATAGACTAGACTATAGACTAGACTATAGACTTGACTATAGACTAGACTATAGACTAGACTAGACTATAGACTAGACTATAGACTAGACTATAGACTAGACTATAGACTAGACTATAGACTAGACTATAGACTAGACTATAAACTAGACTATAGACTAGACTATAGACTAGACTATAAACTAGACTATAGACTAGACTATAGACTAGACTATAGACTAGACTATAGACTAGACTATAGACTAGACTATAGACTAGACTATAGACTAGACTATAGACTAGACTATAGACTAGACTATATACTATAGACTATATACTAGACTATAGACTAGACTATAGACTAGACTATAGACTAGACTAGACTATAGACTAGACTATAGACTAGACTATAGACTATAGACTAGACTATAGACTAGACTATAGACTAGACTATAGACTAGACTATAGACTAGACTATAGACTAAACTATAGACTAGACTATAGACTAGAATATAGACTAGACTATAGACTAACTATAGACTAGACTATATACTAGACTATAGACTAGACTATAGACTAGACTATAGACTAGACTATAGACTAGACTATAGACTAGACTATAGACTAGACTATAGACTAGACTATAGACTAGACTATAGACTAGACTATAGACTAGACTATAGACTAGACTATAGACTAGACTATAGACTAGACTATAGACTAGACTATAGACTAGACTATAGACTAGACTATAGACTAGACTATAGACTAGACTATAGACTAGACTATAGACTAGACTATAGACTAGACTATAGACTAGACTATAGACTAGACTATAGACTAGACTATAGACTAGACTATAGACTAGACTATAGACTAGACTATAGACTAGACTATAGACTAGACTATAGACTAGACTATAGACTAGACTATAGACTAGACTATAGACTAGACTAGACTAACTATAGACTAGACTATAGACTAGACTATAGACTAGACTATAGACTAGACTATAGACTAGACTATAGACTAGACTATAGACTAGACTATAGACTAGACTATAGACTAGACTATAGACTAGACTATAGACTAGACTATAGACTAGACTATAGACTAGACTATAGACTAGACTTAGACTAGACTATAGACTAGACTATAGACTAGACTATAGACTAGACTATAGACTAGACTATAGACGAGACTATAGACTAGACTATAGACTAGACTATAGACTAGACTATAGACTAGACTATAGACTAGACTATAGACTAGACTATAGACTAACTATAGACTAGACTATAGACTAGACTATAGACTAGACTATAGACTAGACTATAGACTAGACTATAGACTAGACTATAGACTAGACTATAGACTAGACTATAGACTAGACTATAGACTAGACTATAGACTAGACTATAGACTAGACTATAGACTAGACTATAGACTAGACTATAGACTAGACTATAGACTAGTCTATAAAAGGAGAATTTCCTATAGAAAGAGAAATTTTCGAAAATTTCAAAAGAGAAATTTTCGAAAATTTTCAAAAGAGAATTTTTCGAAAATTTTCTATAGAAAGAGAATTCTTTTAAAATTTTCTATAGAGAGAATTTTTCGAAAATTTATTATAGAAAGAGATTTTCGAAAATTTTCTATAAAAGAGAATTTTTCAATAATTTTCTATAGAAAGAAAATTTTTGAAAGTTATCTATAGAAAGAGAACTTTTCGAAAATATTCTATAGAAAGAGAATTTTTCGAAAATTTTCTATTAAAAGAGAGTTTTCGAAAGTTGTCTATAGAAAGAGAATTTTTCAAAAATTTTCTATAAAAAGAGAAATTTTCTATAAAAATAGAAATTTTAGACTAGACTATAGACTAGACTATAGACTAGACTATAGACTAGACTATAGACTAGACTATAGACTAGACTATAGACTAGACTATAGACTAGACTATAGACTAGACTATAGACTAGACTATAGACTAGACTATAGACTAGACTATAGACTAGACTATAGACTAGACTATAGACTAGACTAGACTATAGACTAGACTATAGACTAGACTATAGACTAGACTATAGACTAGACTACTATGAGACTAGACAGACTAGACTATACTAGACTATAGACTAGACTATAGACTACTAGACTATAGACTAGACTAGACTATAGACTAGACTAATAGACTAGACTATAGACTAGACTATAGACTAGACTATAGACTAGACTATAGACTAGACTATAGACTAGACTATAGACTAGACTATAGACTAGACTATAGACTAGACTATAGACTAGACTATAGACTAGACTATAGACTAGACTATAGACTAGACTATCGACTAGACTTAAGACTAGACCTATAGATAGACTATAGACGCGACTATAGACTAGACATAGACTAGACTATAGACTAGACTATAGACTAGACTATAGACTAGACTATAGACTAGACTATGAATAGACTATAGACTAGACTATGACTTGACAATAGACTTGACTATAGAATTGACTATAGGGTTTGACTATAGACCTTGACAATAGACTTGACTATAGAATTGACTATAGGTTTGACTTATAGACTTGACTATAGACATGACTATAGACTAGATTTTATAGTAGATTCTAGACTAGACTATAGACTAGACTAAAGACTAAACTATATACCAGACTATAGACTGGACTATACACTATATTATAGACAAGACTATAGACTAAAAGAAAACGATACTTTGCTCTTTTGCCGATTGTGAGTCGGGTTGTTTTAAGATAAAATTTGACATAAGTGTTTAAACAATAACGCAGTACAACTGTTCTGATTTTCTGAATGTAAAACAAATATTTTTTTTCGGAAATTATCGACCGCATACTGGGTAATGCGTTGACATGATTGGTTTGCTGGAGAACTGTCGCAAGGAGTGAGTTAGAATGGTTAAAAAAGGGAAAACCAAATAATAATAATATCTGCCTAATTTTCGGAAAATTGGATAGAAATTTCTTTTAGTTTTCAATGCATTTTCGAAACTTTCCACATAGTAGTTCATTGAACCCACAAACGTACATTTACATCTTAGTATAACCCATAATATTTAACAACCATCGACTATTATACACATTCAAGTTCAAGGATAATTACAAAATTATAATTTCACAAAGTCTAGGTGAATGATTGTTGTGGTAACAAAGAGAGAAAAAAACATTACAGAAAACTTAAGAAAACTAAATCAAAAAGTCAACTTTGCACAAGTTAAACTACAACTAGAAAATTATAATAAAAAAGAAAAAACTAAATGATGAAAAACAAGCATAATTTTCAAAACACTTACCTTTTAGCATTTGCAGCGGCATTACCAGCTAAAGTATGAAAATCGTGACCGGCACCATTTAAATCATGATATTGTGAAGGATGATGTTGATCATCATCATCATCACTATAGACAACACCATCAACACGCTGATACTGCTGCTGCTGCTGATGATGATCATCATCTTCATTACTATGATGAATATCATCACTATCAAAATCATTTAACTCAGATGGAAATAGTTTTATGGCACCATCAGTATGACGTCTCGGTTTATCGTCACGCAAACGTCTATGTTTACGAGAATAACGATCAGTTTTAAGAGAATGCTGTTGTTGCTGCAGCTGATCTTGTTCTAGCTGTTGGTTGCTGGTGATTGCAGTCGTGGTTGTGTTGTTGGTGCCAGCACCTGTATGTGGTTGATCATGTAGCGAACTACTACTCAAATGCATGTGAATGGGTTCTACACTTAAAGTGGTGGTATTTGATGATAATGATGGATTTGATGAAGTCGATTGTGGTTGTGCTGCATGATTAGCATTAGAACTTGGCAAAGTTTTACTACCACTACTGGACTTGACACATACTAAGGATTCTTTATTGTTCTTTTTTGATATGTCGGATAATGAGTCATGACTGTTATGATTTGCCAGACCCGGCGGTAGTGAAGAGGATTTGGTCTGTTGTAATTCATCCCAAAGATTTCCCTTTTTGTGCGAGTTGCGCATGCGGAAGTTTTTGCGTGAACAACCACCCTCTAAGCGATGGATTTCATCGTCATCATCATCGCTGAGATCATTGATAAAAATGGTATTTGGTGAGTATTTATCGTTACGTTTCTTCTGTTGCAGGGCTGATCTGTGCTGAGGGTGATCGCCACCTGAAGAATTATTGGCCAAACCACCGGACATATTGGAATTATTGCTACTGGCCACTGAAGTCTTAGTTTGTCGTGACACGGATCGAGAATGTGATCTACGAGATCTACTTGTGGTGGTGGTGGTGTGTGCTTTCTCGTCGTCGTGACTAAGCGATGGCGAAGAATCTTCGTCGTTTGTAGTGGTGGTGGCTATATCGAGACCTTTTTCTTTGCATATTATATCATACAGAGCACTAATTGGACGCGATTCACTACGTACCCTTACGGCCCGTTTACGATTTGCAAAACGCTGAGTATTACGACTACGACCCGTTACCGTCTGTTGTGGAGGCAATTCGGCGTCGGCTGTAACACAAGGTTTAAAATTGGTACAAGCAAAAACTACACTACCATCGGCCGCCTGAATCGGTGCCGCTAATGGTAGATGACTATTATCTGCGTCTACAATAAAATCTGAGGGTGAACTACTATTACCTTTGATAGGTTTCTGCGATCTTCTGTTTGACGGCATAAAAGAAGGATCGTTGCGATTCTGTTGTCTCTGCTGATCGCTGTGAGTGTAAGCCCCACGAAAAAATGTTCCTGTATTTTCTTCAACTTCCTTCGATAATTTTTGCTGAGGACTTATGGATAGTGGTGGTGCTGGAAGAGTTGCTGTTGTCGTTTTCGGAAATTGATGTTCGTCTTTGATGAGTTTCGATGGTGTCCTATAGACACTTTGATAATTTTCATTAACCGAATCTTTAGCTTCGGGTGTATGGATCTTTAGATGAAGATCTGTATAGTAAGCTGGTGCTGTATGATGATGAAAGTGCGGATGATGTCCTTGATAACGTTTGGGTAATTTTCTCGATTGTGGTTTAGATGTTGATGATGATTCCTGTTGTGTTGACTGTTGTGATTGCGATTGCTGTTGTTGTTGCTGGCAGCTAGTTTTGGCAGTGGCTGAATTTGATGAACTTAAGTCATTCACAGAAACGTCAGTAGCGGATTCTGTAAGATAAGAAAACACATAATAAGTATAAGGAATTGTTTTTAATTTTATTAAAATTTCTCTATAAATTTAGTGGTTTTTTTTAAATTTTTTTTCTAATATTTTTTTTAAATTAGAGACTTTCAACACTATTTTCTAAAATAATGAATTTTTCAAAAGTTTTCTAAAAAAGATAATTTTTAAAAAATTTTCTATAAAAACAGAATTTTTCGAAAATTTTCTTTAGAAAGAGAATTTTTCACAAATTTTTTAGAAAGAGAATTTTTCGAAATTTTTTTATTAAAAGAGATTTTTTCAAAAATTTCCTATAGAAAAGAATTTTTCGAAAATTTCCTGTAGAAAGAGAATTTTTCGAAAATTTCCTATAAAAAGAAAATTTTCTTTAGAAAGAAAATATTTCGAAAATTTTCTATAGAAACAGAATTTTTTGAAAATTTCCTTTAGAAAGAGAATTTTCTATAAAAGGCGATTTTTTTGAAAATCTTCTATAGAAAGGAAATTTTTCGAAAATTTTCTTTAGACATTTTTTATAGAAACAGAATTTTTCGAAAAATTTCTATAGAAAGAGAATTTTTCGATAATTTTCTAAAGAAAAAGAGTTTTTTGAAAATTTTCTACAGAAAGAAAATTTCTAGAAAATTTTCTATAGAAAGAGAATTTTTCAAAAAATTTCTATAGAAAGAGATTTTTGAAAAATTTCTATAGAAAGAGAATTTTTCGAAAATTTTCTATAGAAAGAGATTTTCGAAAACTTTTATAGATAGAGAATTTTTTTAAAAAATTTTCTATAAAAAAAGAGAATTTTTCGAAAATTTTCTATAAAAAAAGAGAATTTTTCGAAAATTTTCTATAAAAAAAGAGAATTTTTCGAAAATGTTCTATAAAAAGAGAATTTTTTTAAAATGTTCTATAAAAAGAAAATATTTCGAAAATTTTCTATAGAATGAGATTTTTTCGAAAATTTCCTATAGAAAGAGAAATTTTCGAAAATTTTCAAAAGAAAGAGAATTTTTCGAAAATTTTCTATAGAAAGAGAATTTTTTGAAAATTTTCTATAAAAAGAAAAATTTTTCGAAAATTTCCTGTAGAAAGAGAATTTTTCTAAAATTTCTTATAGAAAGAGAATTTTTCGAAAATTTTCTATTAAAAGAGAGTTTTCGAAAGTTGTCTATAGAAAGAGAATTTTTCGAAAATTTTCTATAGAAAGAGAATTTTTCGAAAATTTTCTATAGAAAGAGAAATTTTCAAAAATTTTCTATAAAAAGAGAAATTTTTCGAAAAATTTCTATAGAAAGATAATAATCCCCAATTTTTTCGAACATTTTATATAAAAAGAGAATTTTTCGAAAATTTTCTATAGAAGAATATTTCGAAAATTTTCTATAGAAAGAGAATTTTTCGAAAATTTTTTATAGAAAGAGCATTTTTAGAAAATTTTCTATAGAAAGAGAATTTTTTGAAAATTTTCTATAAAAAGAGAATTTTTGAAAATTTTCTATAAAAAGAAAATTTTTTGGAAAATTTCCTGTAGAAAGAGAATTTTTCTAAAATTTCTTATAGAAAGAGAATTTTCGAAAATTTCTTTTAGAAAAAGAATTTTTTGTAAAATTTTTATAGGAAGAAAATTTTTCGAATATTTCTTATTGAAGAGAATTTTTCGAAAATTTTCTATTAAAAGAGAGTTTTTGAAAGTTGTCTATAGAAAGATTTTTTTTCTATAAAAAGAGAAATTTTTCGAAAAATTTCTATAGAAAGATAATAATCCCCAATTTTTTCGAACATTTTCTATAAAAAGAGAATTTTTCGAAAATTTTCTATAGAAGAATATTTCGAAAATTTTTTATTGAAAGAGAATTATTCGAAAATTTCCTATAGAAAAAGAATTATTCGAAAATTTTCTATAGAAAGAGAATTTTTTGAAAATTTTCTATAGAAAGAAAATTTTTCGAAAATTTTCTATGGAAAGAGAATTTTTCGAAAACTTTCTATTAAAAGAGGATTTTTCGTAAATGTTCTTTAGAAAGAGGACTCTTCGAACATTTTCTATAGAAAGAGAATATTTCGAAAACTTTCTATAGAAAGAGAATTTTTGTTTAATCTTCAATACAAAGAGAATTTTTCGAAAATTTCCTTCAGAAAGAGAATTTTTCGCAAATTTTCTATAGAAAGAGAAAAAAAATTTAAATTTTCTAAAAAAGTAGAGAACGACATTTTTCTAAAATAATAGACATTTCTCGAAAACTTTCTCTGGGGATTTGAATAGTTAACATTTCGTAAAAATTCCTGCCAACTTTATGGTCTGAATTTCTTGCATGAAAACTCTACTTAACAGTAAATGTACTTGTATGTAGTGTAGTTGTATTTCATTTATTGTACGATTGTATGCATCCCACAGATTTGAATTAGCACTTCAGAAACTTTTTCGTCATAACTTTAGTTTACCTTCAACTACAATAAAAAAAGTTAAATACTATTTCTGTGAAAAAAAAAATATCCACTTCAGTTTACAAATAAAAAAAAAAGCTCATTAACAACTCAATGCTAGAAGTATCTACAAAAAACACCAACACATGATGGGAAAATAAATGTTTAAATAAAATACTTAATAATATTTAAAGCGAAAACAATAATAATATCAAGAGAATTTAAATTTAAAAATATATGTTTTTATTTAAAAAAAATCATTATTAAACTAGATCAATTAAACATTTTCTTTACCGTAAGGTTTCAAAAATACATTTGTAGTTTTTTTTATTATGACGTAAGTAAATAATATCTTTATTAATTTATAGAAGTTAAAAAAAAAATAAATACTGTCTTAGTGCCTGTCATATACATTAAGTACTTAAAATACATATATATGTAGGTGTAGGGTATAAATAAAATTCCCAATTGAAAAATATACTTATTGACGAACAAATTTGTCATTAGTTTTAAAATAGATCATAGTTGATAAGAAAATAATAATTAGCACTTTTCTATTTCTACGAAGTGAACAAAAAAATTTGCCATAGAAACAGCTGCACAAAAATTCAATTCAACAAATTTACTAAATAAATCCATGAATTTAAAACAGTCATGGGCAGTTTTTCAAATCACATATACATACGTACACAAGACGCCTCAAG